ATATTTAATAAGTATCCTCATGGGGATAAAATATATTAGTTAATTCACTACTACTTTCTAGAAGATATACAAATCTACACATACATACATACATACACACATGTGCACATACATACGTATATATACATGACACATATTTCTTCTAGCAGGCATACATACATGAATACGTGTATACATACACACAGGCACATATCCATACAAATATATACATAACACACAAATATGTATTTTTTCTAGGAGATATACATATATACATATATATACATATACACAAAAGTACATATATATATACACACATGACACACACACACATACACATACACATGCCCTGTGTGGAGCCACAATACTTATCTTAAACTGTGTAAAATTTGAAAGAGATACTTGAAACACATGATAAACAAGAACAAAGTTTAAAATATATCAATAAAATATGAACAAAATATATTTTCCATTTAATAATTTAACTTATAATTTTTTNGTAATGTTAGCTGGTAGTGGCGCACGCCTTTAATCCCAGGCAGGGGCAGACAGATCTCTGTAAGTTCCAGCCTGGTCTATGGAACAAGTTCTAGGACAACCAGAGCTGTTACACTGAGAAATCCTGTCTCCAAACACAAAAATAAATATTTTAATTAGATATTAAATTATATAAATTAATCTTACATTAAATATTGAAATCTGACAGTACTAAATTTTTAGTATAATATGGTAATCTCCATTAAAATTTAGAAAGTAGTGACTATTTTTTAGGAACAGCCAGAGATGTACTGTTTAAAGTTGCTTTTAAATTGGGCTCTTAACAAATGTGTATATAAAATAGTGTGAGGAAATACATTAATTAGAATTCTTAAAAGCTTGCTGTTTGTGGTGGTTCACAAGAATGCTTTCTAATCTACACTTTAACACGTTTCTTAAATTTTATTAGATTAAAATTCTAATGATTTGAATTAGAGATATGCCCTCAAGATATATATCACAGTGGATTCCAACTTAGCATTATTTGATAGATACTAAAATAGAAATATTTCTTTATAAGAAATGCTTTGCATTCCATTTAATTGCAGTATTTTCTTAAAGGCAAAACTCATTTGAATGTTAAACATATTTTTCTTACACAATTATAAAACATTTGATAAGAAGAGATACCTTAAAATATTTCTCAATAAATAGTCCACATAAATTCAGCTACATCATTACTCAAATTAGATGAGCATTCTCTCACAATAAACAACGTTCCCAACTGATGTTCATTCTACTGTACATCATCATAAAGATGACAGAGTTAACTAATGCATTCTCCAAAACAAGAGGCCTTTGGAACACACACTAAATGTTATGTTTCCATCAAATCACTCCCGTCAGAGCTCAGAGACACTCTATGGCAGAGACGGTGGGAAGAGCGAAAGAGTCAGAGTGCATTAAGGACACCAAAAGAATAAGATCCTATAAAACAGATGATTCTCAACCTTCTTAATGCTGGAACTCTTTAATACAGTAACCATAAAGTTATTTTTGTTGTTGCTTCATAACTGTAGTTTTGCAACTGTTATCAATTGTAATGTAAATCTCTGTGTTTTCTCATTGTCTTAGGCAACACCTGTGAATTCCAAAAGGGCTCGTGACCCACAGGTTGAGAACCTCTGCTAAATCAACAAGGCAAAGTGAATGAGTTAAGTCTGGTTCTGGGGGTTTCTCTTGGGCTCTCTTTTCCTTCTGTTGATTTTCCTTTTCCAACATCAATGTGAAGGATTTTGTTTTATCTCATATTGCATTCTGTTGTGTTTCATTTTTATTTCTTAGAAGTCTGTTCTTTTAAATGAGAGCCAGAGAAGAGTAGATTGTAGGACAGGTGGGGAGGAGCTGGGAGTTGAGGGAAGGGGAAAGTATGAACTAATGTCTCAATAAAACCTCTACCACATATAAAAAAAATAGAAAAAAAAAGCTTAGGTAAAAAACGCCTTTTGTAGAGGTACCAAACAAGAACTCATATATATTAAAATAGTTTTGCAGATTGGAGAAATACAAGAAATGGTTTAGAACAGAGGCTAAAATAATAGGTAGGGAAAAATAGGAGGAAAATACACTGAGTCTTCAAAGTTGAGTTACAAGTCATAAGAACAGCTGTCTAGAGAACAAGGAAAAAGATAAAGAGAGGAAGACAGTAGAAAATTATTTTAAGGTATTTTTCATGAAACTTAAAAATAATAGCTACATTGAAAAGTCTAACAAGGGTGAGTACATTAGAAACACACAGACGCACATATAGGATGAGGAGGAGGAGAATTCTGAAGAACTGTGATTGTCTGCCCATGAATTAAGGTTTTTGATAGCAGTGTGATCATCGAATGAGAAGATAAGGAAAATCCAATACAAAAATGAGGCTGAGGAGTAAAGAAGAGATAGAAGGAGAGGAAGAAAGGGAGGGGAAAGAATAAATGTCTTAGTAAGACTTGATGCAAGGCCAAATTATCATGAATTATTTTAGAATAAAAGTGCTTTTAAACATAAAACATCTAAAACAATGGGTCTATCCAGCATTCCTATAAAAGCTAACAAACCTTGAGAATAAATAAAAATAATAAATTGATGAATGTTGTGGGAAAGAATAGAATCATTACAGCAATGAGACAAACAGCCTCAACACAGTACAAGGGAAAGAAGACTTCACAGTTGCACATGCTGCCGGTCTGTTTACTTTTCAGCACATAGTGGAGCAAAGTGACTCAAATTTTATATACATTTAGGACAGACATAACCCAAATTCTTATTACTAGTGTTCTACCTTTAAAAGCTGACACTAAATCCAGAGATAGTTTCTTTACAATGCTGTGCAAAGTCTATTGACATAGTCGAACACAGATGAGTTTATTATACTTTTCATGATCTAAGATTGCGGCAGCTTCTCTGCTAATTTTATCCATAAACTAGAGTACCTTCAGGGAACCTGGACTATATGACACAACTGTGGCTAGAACTAAAATGACTAGCCTGAACCTGTGAATATATGTCCTTTCTCAAAGTACAATGTTTCATAATAAACAGACGTCAAAAAGTGTTACGGTCCTAAAACACTTTGGAATCAGTAGCGTTTAGTATACATAATACTAAATAATGGTGCTATGAAATTTGTATTTTGTTCACATATGCATATATATACATATACATATGTATATATATGAGCAACAAAATATCTGAAACATTTTCTTCAATAAACTATTTTTCTCCATTTTATATATCTGTAAACTAGACTATAGTCCTTTTGTGTTCCCATAAAGGTTAGGGTTGTTCAGTAGTAACTGTGTGTGTGTTTCTTTGGTGTTCCCATAAAGATACAGGTTATTCGGTTGGGGTATATGTGAATTTTATTCTCTAGTGTCTTCCTTCTGCTGGGTTTCTCTAGCTGCAGTTCATGTGCCTCCAATTAACCTCTCAAGTCATAAGTTATGATGGTGAGTACAGCAGGTGTTTCCTTTGATTTCTAAAAATTTTCCCCTGAAAATGATGCTGTCTCTCATAGGCTTTCTTCTTAAACAATTTCTTTTCGTTCTTTAATATTAGGTTTAGAAGTAATTGGGGATCTGATTTATTATAACCCAAATTAATATCTCATATATGTATAAGCACCTAAGAGAAAAAATATCTGTCCATAATGTAAAAATTCCTCAGGAA